ATCAATATGATTAAAAAATTGAGACATGTTAGATAAAAAGTAACACAAACACATAATTATATTAAGCCAAAAGATACTCTACGCCATCGGGAGTATTCTATACATTTACTCCCTCGGGTAAAACCCTAACTTGGATTAGTTTTAGTACTTCACATTTTAGGCTCTTTAACACATATATTAATCTTAATAACAAATTTCCTAATTGCACATTCTTAAATAATAATATCTCAAGATTGAATAGAAACCATCCAATTGTTGGAGGGTGAGATCTAAATGCTATAAACTCAATTTCCATTTTTTTTCTTTTTTTTTTTTCTTTTTTTTTTTTTTTAAGTAATACTTATCTAGTGATTCTAGAGTGGTTACCAAAATTTCAGATTGAAAAAATCCTCCCAAGTAGGTCATCTGACAAATTGAGTAGCAGTAAACTCTCGAGGGAGCATAGTATACATGCTCAGCAATAAAATAGCAAAAATCAATTTGATAAAGTTCATTAATAAAATCTTCTACATAAAGCTTCTGAAATAGTCTTGCGTTCTTAAGATACTTAGATAATATGCTGCTGAGAACATAAGTTTTATATGTGAGTGGAGCCACATGTAATGGTTCTCCAATACAATATCACTTGAGCATTTAGTGATCCTCAAGGACTAATAAATTTGATTACCTTGCTGAAACACTATGTTAGGGGCTTTCTCAAACCCAAAATACTCCCAACCATTGTTTTGAAAAATAGACCAGACTGGTTCAATACATAAAACCAAGGATAGAAGAAATTCTAATAGGGGCATTTAGAAAGAAAAAGGTTTACATATGGCGCTACCTATATATAAAAAGTAGGGCAGCTTTTAACACAGGCCCTGCTAAGTTTTTATTTTCACCCCATGGGAATTGGGCATACCCTACATTTCAGGTTAAATTTAGCTGTAAGATAAAAAATTGAAATAAAATACTCTAGCCATTCGATCAAAATCAAACATTTAGAGTACTCGTGATATTAAGACTAAAGCCATCCTAACAGTCCATTTACATGGGGTAATTAGAATTGGCAATCACAGTGCCAAAGCGACTTTAGTTCCTTTTTCTTTTTTATCCAAGAGTTGTTTGGCACTTCAAGTGTTGTGCATTTCTTTTTTATCCAAGGGTTGTTTGGCACTTCAAGTGTTGTGCATTTCTTTTTTATCCAAGGGTTGTTTGGCACTTCAAGTGTTGTTTGGGAAAAATATATATTCTTAAAAAAGAAAATACCCCTTACAGCTGCAGGGCTATTTTGTTCATTTTATTTTATCCATAATAATGTACTTATTTTAGTTAGGTGCAACCCGGCAAGTACTGGGCAACAGAGAGAGACAGTGTGTGTTACCCTGCAAATACTACGTCAAATACAAAGACAACCAGGGGTCATGGTCTCAAAGCATGTGGTAGCTATGAATGTGTCCCCTCTTTAAAGGCTGCCAAAGAAACATGTAATAAATATATTGTTTCAATATTCTACCAGAGAGATGTTGCAATGAATTAGAGGACCAACATGTGGCTCCTCCCCTTCAAAAAGAGGATGGAGGAGTTCATAGACGTTGTAGTTCCAAGTTCCAACTGCACCCCGAACTCATGTTTTCTTTCCTGGATGTAAATGCATATGACACTCAATGATATATGGATGACAAAAGTTCAGAGCCTACTAAAAAAGATAAACTTTGAGAAATTAACCACTGCTTCGAAGTTCTAACACCCACAAAACAGAGAGAGAGAGAGAGAGAGAGAGAGAGAATTAAGGCATTGCTTCTACAATAACTCATGAGGAAAACGTTTTCATAGAATGCTAAACCACCCACCATGAAATTCCAACTTGAAAGAGCAAAAGCCCTTCAATCACTAAGCAAAGAAAAGAATACTCTTCAAAAGCGAAGCTGTGGTGATACAACAGGTCGCCATCCAAGGAACCAAATATATACATCTGTAGTTTGGAAGACATTAACCAATAAATTATGGAAGGAAATTGTGATTGCATTTGGAAAACCCAACCATGTTATGCTGAAAAAGGGATTCACCTGCAAATTCCAGCAAGATACCATCCTTCAAAGAGAGAGGGGATTGGCAAATTAAGTAAAAGCCTCAATCAATGACATAGTTTGGGGCCACAGCCAAAATCCTTCTCTCACTCAAAGGCCTGGCTCCTTCCCCCTCTCTCACTGATCCATCTCCATCATCAAGAACAATCAAATGTCCCTCTCTTCGTATCAATCTCTGTATAAAAAGTTCATCACGACTCTTTAACCAATATACTAATTTTGTGAACACATTAATCATCACGGATACATAGATACCTGAATAAAATGAAAGTGCAGCCAGCAAAACTAAGATTAATCTGCATGATTTCTTTTTAATGGAGATGCAGTACTATTTCATGAGCATTTTTAAGAATAGTCCCAGCAATTTCATGGTTTAAAGGCATGGATTTAAGTTTTTATATCAGTAATGATCAGCTAGAACCAACTCTACTTGAATTGTGGTAGATACCAGTCCAACATTGTCTAATTGGTGGCTGTACCATGTTTTAATGGGAAACCCAGCAGAACATGGTATTATCAAAGTGGCAGATAGAACAATCTATCCAGCACCATCCATCCATTGATCAAGATGGCAGTTAGGCTGGTCTTCACCTTTGTTCTGGTATAAACAGTTGTACCTAATCATTCCTCTTGATATAATTTATTTTACAAGCATATGACTTGGACTGTTGTAAGACTGGGGTCATGGTGGTAGCACCCCACATCCTAGTTACCACGTGGTTTCCATTCCCGACACCACCCCACTAACACCTTCAAAAAAACCAACTCCTAAATCCCACTAACACCTTCAAAAAAACTAACTCCTAAACTATTTGAAAAAATGGGTAGGAGCCTGTCTTCCCTACTAAATTACCCCAAAAAAAAAAACAGACTGGCTCAAACAAGAGCCTCTAGAGAAGTCACAAGAAAGGAAAACAAATAAATGGGTTACTGTAGGAAAACTGCATTTAAATTTTGGCAATGTTCAAAAAATGATGTAACAGATTCAAGGACATGCAAATACACATTAAGAAAAAGAAGTCCAAATTTTCTCCATTTTAAATTAAATATAAACCACATATAAGCTTATATTGACCAAATTTAAGACCAAATCCAACTGAGACACATTTAGCTACTATTTAAAATTTTTGAGCATCCATGGCCTTGCCATCCATAAACATACATATATGCATGCATGTACATGTTCAGTGCATGCACATACCACCAGAATACATGGCAAGATGATCATCTAAAACATTTGTTTCAATAGAAGCAAATTTTATGAGTGATGTTAATAAGAATGATGATTCGTGATGTTCCAAAATGAGATGGGGATTTCATGTAACCATGCATCAGATGTGATAATGACGATGGGAACAATGAAGCATAAGATGTTTCAATAGCAGCACATGAAGAAACGTTTGTAGAGTTACCTCTATGATGGCTCTGAGGCACTTGATTGCCTCAACCACTTCATCCGTGCTGTTGTATGCACCCTGGCGGTTTTGTTGCTCCACGTACCACTCTATTAGATCACCTTGTCTCATGCCAGCCAATCCACTCCCTGCAAAAAGGAGAAAGAAATAGAACTTCAGCTACTTGAGTATTTCATGCACAATATTTATCAATTAAGCAACAACTAGAAGCAACATTATTGGAAAGCAAATCATGACAGGACAGGGTATACCAACACAGAATTTCAGTATGTATAGCATTTACCAAAATAAGAGAAAAAATTGGACTCACAATCAGGCACATGTTCAATATTCAACACAACCGAAAGTCTCCTAGAATTGGGCAAGATAAAACCAGGTTCTAACCATTCAGGACGAACATTAGATTAATATCAAAATACTGTACTAAGTGGCCAGAATGGTCGATTCAGGTAGCTTTGGACCATCACAGCTTGTTATGATGGAAAACTGGAACTGATGGAGCTGCAATGGCAGCCTTACAGTGCTTTTTAGCAGTAAAACTTCAATCTTTTGTCTGACAAAAAAAATGATTTTTTTTTCATCAAGTCAGGCTTATACTGAATCAGGTGTCAAGCTAGTCTCAGTGGATCAATAATTAGGATAAGATTTTGAATACTTTTAAATGTCTTTTCCTACCCACCACTACAAGAATTACTGTCAGATACTTGCATACAGCAAGCTTTAAAATATTCATACAAAAAAAAGGCAAAGATTATGTACACACATATGCCTGCCTGAACAAGTGAATCTATACAATGAGAAGAAACAATTTATATACAATGGCAGATCTTAGGAGTACCATCTTGCTCTGCTGCTTCATCATGCTGCCAAATGCCCATAACCAGTGCTCGTGTAACACTCTGAAAATACTCTTCAGTGATCACCATTTTCTTCTTTGGACCACCAGATCCTTCATTATCTCCTGCCACTTCAACTCAATGATGAGAAACAAGTCTACTGATAAATTTTAAACCATTTCAAATATTGGGCTATTTAATATTATTAAAATGTATATCCGAGCAATTATGAATGCATTTAATGTGGTGCTTCTTGCATGTGCATCGGGTTGAAACCCTTGACATGATGCAAATAGTCACATGAGCGTATATGACACATGTATTACAAGAACAATCACTGACATGTAGTCTCAACCATCCAATGTCCCCCATTCCTCGGTTCAAGTCCATCAAGCTCCAATCAAATTGGAAAACCCAATCATCTCAAGTCCATTATCGACAACACAGTTGAGACTAAATGTAGTATAATGTTAGTCTATACTAGATGTACTATAATAAACTGTTCTATGGCATTCAAATGCCTCAATTTCAACCTGTATTTTCTTCTGGTGCTTCCTGTTCAGCTGTACCAGGCTGCACACTATCATGGTCAGCATCTCTATGACCAGAATCTCCATCAGGTTCATCGTGTTGAAAATCAGATAGATCAATCTCACTCGACTCAACACTGCATCAACAGAGAAAAAAAGAATATTATGGTAACTTATCCTAATCACCATTATTCTACTATTTTCATCAGTTTCATCACCATTCCAGTATGGGAAAACATACCATACACTTGTACCATGAGTACATAATGCACCAACCCGTGGTGTATGGTACATTCTAAACCAGAGGAGAATCCACCATCTTTTCTGATGCCAAATTGTGGATATTGACTGTATGCTAATATTCTCTACCATCATCGATTAGGAATGGACAGTTTATGCTCCTTTGCCATAAGATACAATATCCTATTGGTGTATCATATACTTTCCCTAATCATGCTACTACCACTCTTGTTATTACTCCAGTAAGCATTAATAAGATGCTCCATGAACTTACCTGATTATGGATGTTTTGAGCAGCCTCACTGCCATACGGACATGTGATGTGTGAACCTGAAATACATCAAAAAGAGAATAAGGAAAATCAGTTCAGGAGGTCATAACCAAAGAGATCTTGAATTGTGGACATATGAAACCACTGAAATGTGCACTGAAATGTGCACATCAAGTTGTACGAAGATAAAATGAAGGGGATATGCACAGAAAGCACGGAGGTGGAAGACTGTACCCAATGGATACAACCCATCTGCCAGGGTGAAAATTTGTAGAGATCAAATTTCAACCGAAAACTTTTCATCAAGGAGAGGGTCGCATGTTTTCACTCATCCTAAAATCTAATCACATGTTAAAAAACAATGGAAATTTCTAACATAATTCAGAAAAGAATCAAAGATAAATACTCATCCATATTTAGGTTAAATAACAAAAAAGTTGTTCTTTGTCACAACTTATTTAAAGCACTCTAACTTATGCCTGGGTTGGACATCCACTATTCCCAAATGAGCCCACCACAAGGGGGGGCTCTGTGAGAGAGAGAGAGAGAGAGAGAGAGAGAGAGAGAGAGAGAGAGAGAGCGAGAGAGATCCTGCTGCTAATGCCTAGAATATAAACATGCCTGAAGGTCCAAGTGAACCCGAGCAATGGATTCAGAGAGTCTGATTAGTGCCTCCAGCTGCCTCACTGTCATCCGGTAAGCGACTCTGCTACCTGGAGCGGTATCACCTCTGCGAAGAGCTACATATGAGTCGACTAACACCTTTTTAGCTTCTTCACTTAGCTGCATGGATCAAAATGTTTTAATAAGAGTAAGACACAAAAATATGTTTAAAGCAATAACTATCTCCCAAGAAAACAAATTGACCTAAACCAAAAGAAAATGCACCAACACACCTCTGGTTTCAAGGTCTTTGCATACATAATGTAACGCTGGATCTGTGCGGTGGTGAAAGCAGGAGAAAGTGCTTCCTCACGTTTCTGATGAACTCTTACAATATGGTGTGCAATATGGTAATCTGTTTGATCCTCAGGCTCATCAATCATCACATACACAAGATCAAACCTAGAAAGGATGGCAGGAGGGAGGGCGACATTGTACTGCAGAAAAGGCAAAACAGTCACCCATCAAACTCATGGGAATCAACTTAAAGTCTCATGGTATAGATATCAGCTTTGAACAAGAAAAGCACCTGAAAAGAAAAAGAAACGAGAAAGTAGAGTTTGACATGATCTACGGAAAACCAGTCCATTGAAAATCATCAGCATTCAGTGAAATGATGGATGGTGATGGGGAGAGTGTGAGCCACCAAAACATGACATGGCCACATAGGTGGATCTACTTTCTGTCGCCATCACCACCAACCATTTCATTAGAAGATGGATTTGTATTTCTATGAAAAAAACAGCTCCAGAGTTACAATCACAATACATTGGGGTTGTGGAAAAGTTTTCACCTTGAGTGGCTTTGCTTTGTCATAGCGCCCACCAGCGGGATTGGCCGCCGCCAAAATGGATGTTCTGGCATTTAGTGTAGCCTGAATTCCAGCTTTTGTGATGCTTATAGTCTGCTGTTCCATTGCTTCATGGATAGCAACCTTTACATCCATTCAAAGAATAATCAGATAAATGAAAACTTCAAATGGACAAGGGAAATGAATGAACCAAAACCAAACCTGATCTCTGATATCCATCTTATCAAATTCATCGATGCAGCATATTCCATTATCAGCAAGCATCAGTGCTCCAGCCTGTTTCAAGTCACAATGAAGGTAATTTGAGAATCTGAATATAGAACATCAATCAAGTAACATTTCACTTACTAACCAAAAATCCCTCCATTCTACTCATTCGCCACTGTGAAATGCATGTATGTGTGCAAATAAGCATGTGCGTAAATATATTTATTTTTGTATGCATTAACATACGTATGCATGCAGATATTTTAATAATTTTGGAATCAGAGCATACCTCAACCCAAATTCACATTCCATCCATGAAGTCAGCATCTCCTCCAACCAGAAGAGCTCACACCAATTAATCAAAAATTGTTTTGTATTGATGATCAATGAACATAATATTAAACATCTGATTGAGTTCTTTAGATACATTCTCCATTGTCAATAGATCGGTGTGCAATTCCTTTGATGTTTTCTTTAGCTGCCACAGGGTTCCATAGGTTATACACAACTTCCTAGGAAGATTTATCAAGAAAGGGTCATCCAAGCTAAGGTGTTATGACTCACTCTGTTTCTTCTTACTCCTAATCGTTTCTCAAATTATCAGTAATGACTTAATATCTTACTCTTTCCAGCAGTTCAACCATGTTTCAACCAGTGTTTAAAAGATCAGCTGATTTTTAAAAATCGGCCGACTAACTCGGAATCGATCACTGACGGATCCTAATCTGGCTTGATTCCAATGGTCATGTATGCAGGAATGTTTTTCAGTGCACTAATCGGGCCAACTAATCGGACTAATCGGCAATTTGTTCTAAAATCGACCGATAAGTGCACTATCACAGTGCAGAGTCTGCAAAGCTGTCCTTATAACATTTTCTATATATTTCTCCTTTTTTTTCTTGGCAAGCTTGGCAATGCGAGCTTGGCAATAAATGCGAGCTTGGCAATAAATATAATAAATATATTTTTTAAATATAATTTGATCCTAATTTTTTATGGAGATCATAAATATGAAAAAAAAATTGAAAACTATAAATAATAATTATATTGAGAAAACATTTGGACCATTAGTTACACTTGTTTTTAGATAGACTACCTATTTGAATCCATCTTTAAGATGGACGCTTTATACCTCTGGACCGCATATTGTAAAAATGCGATCTAGCCCGCATGAAACAATTTTCTTTCTTCTACTTATCTACTGAAAACTTTATATGTTATTACAAATTTTTTATTTGCTAACTGCAAGGTTTGTTGCTTTGGGCAAGTAGACTCAGATGCACCAGAGTTGGTTAGGCCCAACTGGGTGCCAAGCCCATAGGTCCCTCAACTCGGGGGATATGAAATTTATTCATTGTTCATCTTATTTGATCTTCAATCTAATACCTACACCACCAACCCCCCGAGTGGGACATAGACATACACATAGACACGGATATGAGAGAGAGATGGAAATTTGTCAAAATTGTTGCAAAGAGATGAACAATTTTATATTTTACCTATATTTTTAATTGAATTCCAAAATACCCAAAAAAACAAACATGGTCTTGAGTTGAAATATTATAATATTTTATAATATTATTTTATATCATATTGTATTTATATTTAGTGAAAATAAAAAATAAAAACCCCAAAAATAGACTTTCTAAGCAATTTACCCCCAACCTAACTTTTCTTAGCAACTCCCCCCCAAAAAGCCATGTTTCCTAGCAAATACCCCGAATACAAAAAGTTCAATTTTTTTGACAAAAATACCCTTCCCTTACATAACAAATCATTTTGGCTGAAGTGTGCAGTCCGTCGTTTAGAAGAGGCGGTCCGGCAATTATTTTGCTAGAAGGGCAGTCTGGCATTTCATTGTGGCAGTCCGGGGATTATGCTATTGGAGAAATAGGCAGTCGGACGTTTTGAAATAGCGATCCGACATTTTGAAAGGGCAGTTCGGCGTTTTGAAGTGGCGGTACGGCATTTTGAAGGGGCAGTCCAACGTTTTAAAGTAACGGTCCAGCGTTTTGAAGTGAGTAGTCTAGCATTGTACAAGTGTGGTCTGGCGTTTCCCTTTATTGGGATCCAAAAATGATTTGTTATATACAAGAAGGGTATTTTTGTCAAAAAAAAATGAACTTTTTATATTGGGGATAATTGCTAAGAAACAATTTTTTTGGGGGGGGGGAAGTTGCTAGGAAAAATTAGGTTGGGGGTAAATTGATTAGAAAGTCCATTTTTGGGGGTTTTATACAATTTTCCCTTATATTTATTTTATTATTGTAATTTATATTATATAGTGCAGATTGATTACATATTATATATAATAATATATATTTATTATATATTCATCACTGAAAAAGTATTGCTTCAAGTGCTTAATCATTTTCTTCGAAACCCAATTATGCTTATAATATTTATTTTTTTGCTTTTTTTACGTGACAGTATCAAAAAATACATGTAAATTTTAAACGTTTTTTACAATTTTTTTGGGATTTTTTGAGTTTTTTGGGATTTTTTACCGAATTTGCATTTTTTCAGAAAAAATCGGGGCACTAATCGACCGATCTAGCCAGAATCGGTCGGACTAATCGGATCAGCCCAGGACCGACTAGTCGGCTCGATCTGTTGTTTCGAATACTAGTTTCAACAATTCAACTAAGTTGATGAAATTTAAAATTACCCTCAAATACAGATCTCAAAACAAAAAATGGTTTGCATCGGAGTAGTACAATATTTAAGCATTAAGCAAAAATATCTTCAGCATTACTTCTTTTAAGTAGATAAAAAAATCAAAAGTTAATACATAAATGACAAATATAAATGAAAAAATTTAGAAGAGAAAAGGAAAGGTAAAACTGAAAACGAAATAACCTCAATGCAAAACTCCCCCGTTTCCGGCTCCTTAGCAACGGTTGCAGTCAATCCCGCTGCAGATGAGGATTTCCCAGATGTGTAGACTGAGCGGGGAACTAGACCAGCAGCATACCTGTAAAATAACAACCATCACTATGTAAACCTCTAGGTTGTGGAACTCTTTCTCTCTCTTCTCCCTCCCAAAACATATCTACATATACTGCAGAAACTCATCCTGATAATATTGCTAAAAGTGGACAGCAATCTAAAATAATTTTTATTTGTTGCGGAAAGATATGCACACACTGATGTCATAAAGGAAAGCAAACACAAGGAAAAATGAGAGATATACTTGAGAAACTGGGATTTTGCGCAGCTTGGATCTCCTACAATACACACATTTATGTCCCCCCTTAAGTTGATGCCTTCGTGAGTAATCTTGTGAACACCCCCCAAAAGCATCAGCAGAACAGCTCGCTTGATTTCTTGATGGCCAAAAACAGTCGGAGCAATGCTTTCAACGAGCTTATTGAAAAAATCTGGGGTGTTCCTCATTGCGTGCATTTTATTTATTTCTTCCAACTGGCCAAAGGAAATTATAAAATACAAGCATCAAATTGTGGCTGAAAATGAGTAAATAAACAGGTGTGGATAAATAGTGAGGTTTTACCATGATCAACATGATCAAAAGAATGATCATGTGGTTCAGCGCATGAAAGTTGTATTCAAATTCAATAGCAAACAGTAAAACAGAAGCTCAAGATTTTTGGATTTTTTTTTCCCAATAATCTGACAGGGGCAAGTTGTGCTCTACAAATCCTATGACAATGCATGTAACTTTCAAAGCAAACCACTGTTTAAGTAACAGAGTGCATTTTGAGGAAACATCAAAGACAGTTTCTGAGAATATGTTGTGATTGAAGAAACCAGACCATCTGCTAGCTCGAGTAGAGGACAAGGACGAATAATCGATAACCTTTTGAGGAATCATGGAGAAACAACCAAGAAAGAAAATTTGTCGGCTTGAATGCATGCTCTGAAGAGATCCATTATTTATTTTGGCGGAACCACAAATATAAAATGATGAAATAAATGAAAAAATAAAACCAGAAGCTCCAAGTGCCTACTGTGAACTGTGGAATCTCATCTGCATCTCCATCTTTCCTTCTGTATCTAACATCACCATCCCGTCCCCCATTCGGCACCTAAAATTGAGAGAGAGAGAGAGAGAGAGAGAGAAAATCAATGTTAATTATATATTCACACTCACACCAAAACCACATCGGGAGCACCTAGATGCAACCAACAGAAAGAAACCCCAACCTGCACTGAGTTTGCGACAAAAGAAATGCGATATGAGAGATCCCTCACTCCCAATGCTCGAAGACCACTGACTCCTCCAAATCCACCAGAAGCATTCCGTTGTTGAGGCCCTTCTCGCCGAGACTCTGATCTCTCACCTGGAGAAGCTAGTGCCAAGATATCCGGTATGGCAACCACCGTACCAGTGAAAATAACCCTAAACCAAATATCAAAATAAATGAACAAATAAATCAAAATAAAACATCACGAGTGGCATAGATTGGAAGTGGGGTTACTGAGAAACTATAAGGTCTTCAAAAACCAGAATTACAACACTGATTGAGAAGGATATCTTCTAATAGTCATGATCATATGTCATTGTTTTAGGTCCGTGGCTTTGATTTTTGGCAAAAGAAAAACAATGATTTCTCTTAAACAAGATAAAAGGAAAAGAAAATTACAACCTTCGACCTAAAATAACAAAATTGTACAAAAAACACATAAAAAAGGTTAACTGTTTTATCTTTGAATCAAACTTGTTTCCACCACGTAAAATTAAAATCATGGCCAAATGATTCCTAGAAATAGAAATTGTGCACATGGTTCTCATCTTTGGTAAAAGAATTAAATATAAAAAATAAATACTCTCCAATACCCACTTAGATATTAAGGAACATGAAATAGACATCAACATTAGTGCAATGTTATTGCCATGTACAAATGAACATTTCAGAATTTGACAAACGATTTGGGAACTTACGTGTCACCTGCCCTGGCTTGCTCAACAATCTCATGCCGAAGAATGACATCCAAGGATCGTGGCAAAGAGCCTGCAGGTATCTCACTAGAGTTCTCCTGCATTCGAACTCTTTGCCAATCCGCAAATTTGCTCTCTTGCCGAAGAAGCGCCCATCTATTTCGATTTTGACATGTGGCATTCACACATATGATTGGCTACAAACCGCCCAAAAGAAAAGAATTAATAATCTTGTCAATCTAGTGTAGAAGACTGATATCTAAAAATCAGGGGAAGGAACCAGAATGATCCAAAAGAGTCCACATTACATGCACACGACTAATAATAGCAGGGTACAATAGTTTAGTTACTGTATCCAATACAAGGAGTGCATATAGAGCATTGTCTAGATGCAGTGATAGTCGTTATTCAAGGGTCCAGATTACATACACACGACTGATAACACGGTACGCCAGACTAGTTACTGTATCCAATACAAGGATTGGATATAGAATAATGTCTAGATACAGTTATAGTCATTGTTCATTGTCTTTTTAAAGAGTATCTTTGAAAGAGACAAAGATGCATTTTTTAAGACATAAGCTCACTCGATTGCAATTGTCATCCATGTTATATTCACATAAGCTCACTCGATTGCATTGAAACACTATTAAACAAAACAAGGGATAATTACAATCATCTCCCAGATGGGGACGTTTATGCTTTCACAGGCATGCACTAGTACATGAGAGGCATGGTTGAATAGGAAACCAAAAGCAAAAATATAAATAAGGAGTAGTAGAAACTAACTTCTGTGTACTTGTATTGCTGTTCTACATTTTTAATGACTCCACCACAATCCAAGCATTTAAAATTCCCCTGCAAAAGCTCAGGCCGAACTTCACTGGTCCGAGTAACAACTCCAGTTACTGAAACAAGCTTCCCGATGTCAGCTGTCCTAATATCTCTCAGCCTATATTCACAAAACAAAAGTTGATACCATCAACATTATAATTTTCCCTCCAAACAGAAACATTCATATTGTTTGCAAACACCCTAAGTTTTTGCGAACAAAATTTATTATGTTCCCTCGAAAAGGACAAATTCTCTTGAATAGTAGTGATAAACTCATGTTCAGTCATTCAGATCCATATTCACAATTCATCATGATCATATCTTAGCCATTTCAAAAGAGATTGAGCTTCTTCAAATTTTCCATTCAAGGTAGGACTATTCTGATTACCATGTTGAAAAAAAGAGAATAAACATGTTAAAAGACTTCCTAAGAGAATCAACAACCTCATAAACTATGATTTGAGGCCTTGTGGATTTGAAGTAGGCTTTTAATTTCCAAACATCCAAATTAGAGCATGATAAGTCTATTGAGGTAAAATAACCACTAAAACATTATCTTTCTTAATGAAAGCGAAGTCAAATGAAATAACGTCTGAAGGCCTAAACAAACTATAAAGAAATATGGTTAAAAAAATAAAAGAAAAAACATAAACGAGTACCTTTTCAAAAGAGGAATATTATAGAAAGCAACATTGATGTCTTTATTAGGGTTATCATCTGCAATAAAAGCCGGCCTTTGCTCCATCACAAAACGTCTGCATGCATTCCTCAAATAAGGGTCAAACCTGCACAACAACCGAAAAACAATTGAATAAAGTAAAACTTATTACAATCGATGCTTTCATTTGCAGCTAGGATTCTTTCCAAACTTAACCATCCCACCAATTCTACAACAAATTAGAAAATGATGATTTGGAAATTCAGTGAAACTCAGATAAAGTTTGGATCCAGACAACCTTTAAAACTGAAATATGTCTTTCAATCTATAAATATATCAAAGACAATGCAATCGATAATATCACAAATCAAAGTATGTAAAATTTCTGTTCACCAAAGGTTTTCTTAGTACATTAAAGTCCAAGTTACAAGGATCAACTCCACACATTTCTGCTTAAATAGGACAATTGGCTTCCAGAAGAATAAGATGAAAACATAGACAGTGAATGAGTACTAGATGGGTCTTTGTTTTAACTATTTTATCCAAAGCCAATAGAAGATGGCAATGAAGATTGCACTTCCATACCTCCCATTTATTTTAGAGGGTTTCAGAAACCAATATTGCGAATTAACTTTGGGAAATATTTTCTTTAAGGACAAGTATGCCAGGAAATCATAGCTGTTGACCAATTCATTAACAGTGAATTTAACAGATACTCCCCTCCAACTAAAATTTAAGGAACTTGGAATACGGTAGAGTCATATCCTACCCAATTCAGTACAGACGGCTAATAAGAAACTTGATATTTTAGATCCTTATAGGTCACATTGCATACAAACATGCAGCCAGCTAGTTTATAAGTGACCCTAATGATGTATACATTGGCCTTCTTCACACATTTGTTGGGCACATTTGTGCAAAGACAATTGTAGCACTTATATCCCTCATTTAATGTTGCCTGTGTCGATTCTAAATAACTGAATCGTGACACTACTAGATCGATGCCAAGTAACTATGTCACTAGAGCATGGTTCATCTGATGGTGATGTAATGGCAATTCGGTGCTTCCGACCACTAATGGAATCACCACGCATGACACTTGTAAGCACCTTCTAAGTCTGACAATATATTTTGATTACATGCCTACTTACATGATATAGAGGTATTGCTGATTTATCCCGCACCAATACGTAGTGATAATTTCAAGGCAAAATTGGACAGCATAAAGCAAAAATTGTATGAGCATGATGCACATTTGAGATTGAACATAGCTTTATCCTGTACCATATTTGAGAGGAGACGTGGCACTATTGCATGTGTGATCTGAGTTATAAATTATGAACCTTCTCGTGAAGGCTTAAAAAAAAATCTAAATGTTATTATAATGGTTGGCAAAGTACCACCTGATGGTCAAATGTAAGTTTGAATGCAAGTATTTGACAAACAGTACAGTTACTTAAGAGAAGTTCTGAGAAATGGGTTAATGCTGACCTGATGTATTCTTCCAATATGTTCCTCTGTAAGATGTCATTAAAGCGCATGACATGTGAAAAGTCAACAAACATTGTGGTTAATTCCTTTGATTTCATAACTTCGATCTCTGACTCATAGAACACCTCATTTTGCCCATCCAATTTGAAGCTGCATATTAAAGGACATAGAGAGAAAGAGAGACCATCATTGCATATTTAAGACACTGCTAATCGAAAAAAACTAAAAAAACATTGTAGGGCTCTGTCAATAAAAACACAATGGAATCTGATGATGAATGCTACAAAAATGGCAAAGATAAAACCAATTTAAGAAAATAAAAATAAATGCAGATATCAGATATATGGGGTGAGAAATGTAGGCGGTTTTGTTCATTTCCATACAAATTGAGAGTTTTATCTGGGCACGCCGTGCTTGCACAGAGGTGGAGTGGAATTTGATCGCGAATTAGCATATTTAAACTTAATTAAAAAAATAGCTTAAATTGCATATGGTTTTAACGCTACAGAAGAATAAATTAAACATGACCAAAACATCCTTTTTTGGTGAAAATAATATAAATTATAACCAAAACATCCCCTGTTCATAACTTGCTATGGCATCGGTATATACTGACTCGGAAAGAAGAAGTTCCAGGAAGTTGCACGTAAAATATTCCCACAATCAAAACGCAACAAAAGAGGGGAGAGAGATCGTTGGAAATACATTGCAGTAATCTTAACTAGGAAGTAAATGAACAAAAAAAAAGGGCAAAAAAAAAGGAAATACCTTCTCAGGAATTGTAAGAAGAGGTTTTCAATGTGAATGGCGTTCTGATCAACGTAGAAACCCCCGAAAGCATCCATTTTCCCTTGCCTCAGCTCTCTCTCTCTCTCTATCTCTCTCTCTCTCACACACTAAACGAAACAAAGAGAAAAACTGCACACCAGGCTTCGGTCAGTTGGTAACCCTAAAGTTTTGGCGGGAAACCTATTGGCGCGATTTCTTCCCGCCAAAGTCTTAAGGTAACGTGAGGATTTACTTCTTCTGATAAAATGACGTTAAAGTCCTGTTCTTTTGGATAGTGACTTAAACGCCCATGGTTCTTACTTTTCAAATGTAGCTTCTAATCTCATTTTGATGGTTTTCCTATTGCTGAGTTCGAAGTTCAAATTGTCAAATAACTAAAAACATTTGGTGTGGTCAAAAAAATGAGTCTGCACCACACCGGCTGGTTCTTCAAGTTCTGATCAGTAGGTTATTGGTCTGACCTGAGTTTCTCACACATCTCTCCCGCTCTTAAATCTCTCTCTCCCCCTTAATCCCTCTTTCCCTTCTTCTTAGATCTCTCTTTCTTCCTCTTTTAAATCTCTCTCCCCTTCAAATTTTCTTTCTTTCTTTTTTTGATCACTTTGAAATGGGGATGTTTAAAAAATTAGAATGTTTAGACAAGCATTAGATTTTAAATAGAAAACCAGAAAACATCACATTCGAGATCAAATTAATCCATACACTTTATATTAGAAACACATATTTTATATTTATATTAGGCACTGAGCAATTTCAAATGTTTAATCATCTAATACAATTTACATCGATTGGGTCCGTGCCTAGGCGCAGACTTATGATTTTGGACGAGAGAGAGCGAGTGGATGAGGGATGGGAGAGAAAGAGAGAGATAATGAAAGTAAAGGGTGGTTACTTTAGGTTGGAAGTGAAAAATTTTAAGTCGGCAGTAGAATATTCTAAGTAATAAGTGGGGGAATTCTAGGGTAATCCTTAAGGGATAAAAGTTTTCTCTCTCGTTTTTTTGGGATGAAGAATATGAAACAAAATATTATCAACTAAGGGGAAAGCTTAATGTATTTGATTAGTTATTGCCTTACATTAAGTTTTTTGTTTAGCTTTTTAAACTTAGGGTTACAAATGAACATATGATGTTTATATAATATCCTCTTGAAACAATGGTGGATGTTTAAAATTAAATCAAATTATAAAAAAATTGTATTTTATATGAATTAAAAATTAAATCACAATTTTAGGTTAAAATAGTCATTTGCCCCTATTTATAATCTTGAAAATGATGAAATGGTCATAAAAAAAAAATGCCAAGGGCTTTAGGGCGTATTTCAAGATATTTGTACGCCAAAAGCAAAAGGATAAAATGAGTTGGCCCGCTACTTGTTAAATAGTATAGGACGGGCTAGCTAAAATTTAATTAAAGTATTTTTGTTATTAAATTTATAGGGAAATTTACATAAAGCCTCAATTGATTTTTTGAATTTCAAAGCAAAAAAAATATTAATACCTTTATTCTATAATTGTATTTCCAAATAAACTCCTAGGCTATTACCCAATTTACCGTATTCTTTTTCCTGTATATACCTCACAAGTCTTTTAACCTAAATAAACTCCATTTACCTTTTTTTTTTTTTGAGAAAAGTTTATATAGAGCCGAGGCTCTAAACAATCAAATTCGAGCCTACCTCAAAAATTTCACTAGAAGATGTTGTTTTTATACCCAAACATCCTGAAAGTCATCATCTCCACATCAAGATGCATGGACATGAGGAAAAAAAAATGGATTTCAAGATTTGGAAATAGAATATTTTGTAACCCATTTTTTGACCGTCAATTTTCAAAATTTTCAAGTTTTAATGGATTTCTTGATCTACACTGTTTTTTAAACTTTATAAATAAAGGTAAAAATATATTTGAAAGCTATCAAAAAGATTTCCAGTATCGAAACTACATTTTTTGACACTATTTGACGGTATAACCTAGGTTCTATCCAAACCACACCCTTCTCTTTTTGCCCATATCCATTTGTACAATTAGTACATTATAGCATTTACGCCTTGTCCTTTTCCTATTAACCGCATTATATAAAGGGAAACGTTTATATAGAGCCGAGGCTCTAAACAATCACATTTGAGCCTATATCAAAATTTATCCTAAGAGAGGTTGTTTTGATGCTCAAATATATTTAAATTGATCATCTCGACATCAAGTTGCATGGGCATGAGAAAAATTGGATCGCAGGTTTTGGAAATAGTGTATTTTGTTACGTATTTTTTGACCGTTAAATTTCAATATTTTCAAGTTTGCATAGATATGTCGATCTATGCTATTTTTTAAGCTTTAAACTTTATAAATAAATATGAGAATATATTTTAAATCAATCACAAATATTTTCAATATCAAAACCACATTTCTCACCGCTATTTGAAAGTAGGCTCTAACTTGATTGTTTAGAGCCTAGGCTCTATACAAACTACATCCTTATGGATTTGGGATGCCTCTTTTAACCTACTTTAAATAAATGATTTTTTAAGACAAAAATCCTCCATGGTAAACCATGTTTCGCTACCCCTCTCGTTTTAGTAAAATAAAGCTAGTCTGACATATAATGTGCTCGAGTGTCTTCTTGTCCGGACCAACTTGTTTTTTCATATAGTGAGCGAGAAGAGGTGTATAAAACATGGGTTTGGAGGGGGTATTTTTGTTATATTTTAATTTTTTTGGCATATATGATGGGTATATAATTGGGTTCGTTACAATCAAAGCATTCATCTTCATTACAAATAAGCCACAATTGCTACTAGCCATCATATACTAGAGTAGATGGCTTGGGGTGTCTCACATAATTACTTTTTATTTTTATATTTTTGAAGTTCGAGTCTAATTAATGAAATAATCACAAACAATCTGATTTAAAATTTGACATGTTAGAATTTCTATAGGATTTCATTCATAACTTATCACCATTTATAATTTATCATCAAATGGTCATGATTACGAGATAATTTTTGTATTTTTATAAATAAATTGAATCCAGATTTTTTACACCTATATAAAGAAAATTGTTTCATGAAGGTTGGACCGCATTTCTACATATGCCGTTCAAAAAGTGTAAAGCATAAGTGTTGTATCTAAAAACAATAGAAACTGATGGTTTAAATGTTTTTTTACTATAATTATTATTTTTAATTTTAAAAATTTATTTATTTTCTCCTTATTAAAGATTACATATCTTTAAAAATTAAGTCTTAAAATCGATGTAAAAAATAGTCATTAAGAGGCCCGCATTCTACATATGCAAGCTCGGCCGCATAGAAACCGGGTTCCGTAAATAAGGGGCGCGTGAATGATACAAGTAGGTTTGGTCATTGGAGGTAGCGGCAATTTTCCCACCCGCGTCCCCTGTTTAACCTGCACGGAGCTAAAAGGCCTGTAAAAGATACAAGAAGGAACAGAAGGGAGTTAGTTCTCTAAAACAAGAACAAAAAGAGAGAAAGGAGTGCCAGAGATTATAACAAAGCAAAGGAAACTAGCAAAAATGGTGGCTAATCAAGCCCGGCAACTGGCCGTTGATCTCATAACTTCAGATTTCGGTGATCTCGTTGCAGTGAGTAATTTGAATCCAGCTCTTCTATTTTCTCCATTTTCCTTTTTCTTAAATCAAGTTAAGGTTTTTCATCTTTGTTTCTGCAACTTCATCGTCATTCATGGATATAAGTGAAATCTGAATTGATTTATTGCTCTGGTTTCCTTCTCCACACACTTTCTTGTTCTCAGTTGAATTTAGTCGAGAGGCTTTTTTCACGCCCTTTCTGCAAGTTCAATAGTCAACCAAGAAATTTTGAGCTTAATGATTAAATGGATAATTAATTTAATGTTTTTGCTGTTTTTTTTTTTCTCACTCTGAAATGTCATTGCTAGAATTGTTTCAGAGGCTTTTTCATCTTTATCTCTGCAAGTCCAGCTATTGTTCATGAATATTTCCATCTAAAACGAATACAAATAAAGAAATAAATCCTATTTTTTGTTGGTTATTTTAATTTATTTGGCAGAAAGTGTGCAAATGCCTTCTTAAAAAGGGAGCACTCCCACTAGCAAGGTTGGCCATGGAGACGGAGCTCCCTCGTGAACAATTAAAGAAGTGCCTTTTGGTTCTCATACAACACAACTGTGTACAAGCATTCCAAACCAAGAAAGAAGGTATTGGTACTATTCCAAGAAGTTCTAACACAAAAGTAGACCCACCAATAAAAAAGTTTATATAAGGTTGCAACCTTACTTGTAGAAGTAAGGTTGTAGTAATTTATACGATCCATTTTTATTTGGACGTTGTAGCTTTGACACTATCCTAAAAGATGTACCACTTTTTGATATTGCCTTAAAAGATGTGTTAAGTTTACACCTTCCAACTAAAATAAATGGTGTAGAACATCACAACATTATTCGTAGAAAGGTTGCCACCTTAAATAAACCGCACACCAAAGTAAAGAGATTCTGGTATTGTTGTAGATTGATTAGTGGTATTTAATTTCTCAAGTGACTCTAAATGAAAATTGTGGATACTTGATACTTAGTTAAACTTAATTGTTTGTAGAAAACCATTGAAGGATGAGTTATATGGTGAATATTGTTGATTTAATTTGGAGTTATCACATAAAGTATCAGGGTGTATTTAATGATCTTCATTATTTTGATTCTAGTTGTATTTTTCAATCTGCGTGTGTCCTTTCAGTAACTGGGCTAGTTTTGAAATGGTTCACATGAAAATATCAAGTTCAAAAAAATTTCCTCAAATGAGTGGCTATTACGATTACTATTTCTGGATATATATAAAGTTGGATTATTTCCAGTTTTCCATGCTGTACTGGTACTAGTATCCATTTGTTGTGTTGATTCAAGTAGGAAGTGCAGAATTGCTAAGAGAACCTCGTCTCTCTCTCTTCTCTCTCTCTCTCTCTCTCTCTCTCTCTCTTTCTCTTTCTCTCTGTCTATCTTGTTGAATTTTTCTTTTTTTATTTAATTTCTTCTGTTGAATTTTATGCACTTGCAAAACGTAGTTGGAGGCAGGGTTATGTCTACAACAGAATATACTGCATTGCTGGATGACATTATTCATAGGCTGCGGTTTCCCAAGTTCTTGATACTCATCAGGGACCAATTCGATGAGCAGGTAAGCCTATTATTATACTGGTATGCTTGGTTCTCTCTCTATATGGCTTATTCTTCTGATAACCTGTTAACAACCATGCTGCATTGATAGTTAGATCTATGATCTTGGATCTGGGCATAACAACATGGGTTGGTCTTTCTGTTCCAGGTTTCTCATTACAAATTAAATACATACCTTGAGAAGTAATTTTTTTTATTTTTTATTTTTAAAAAGAAGAAGAAGAAGGAGGAGGAGAATGGGTGTGTAAATACCCAAACTGCATGGATTGTTTCAGTAACAAAAGATGATGATTTTAGTTTAGTCCTACGGCTCTGGACTAGCACATAGAGATACCAAATTGTTCGTTTTAGCAATATGGTTTGTGATCTCTGTGTACTTATCAGAAACAAGATATGGGTATTTGAGTGCTCATGGAATTTGTTTGTCCGTATTAATTCTCAAGGCAGCATGACATATTATTGCAACTCATTCTGATATAGCTAACTTATAACCATGGGCTATTTTACTTTAAAATCTCTAGTGTTCAACTTCACTTGCTAAATTATAACAATTTTTTTCCTACTCAATACATTTCATTTTTTTTTTTTTAGGAAAACCAGTGGCAATTTTATGTTAGTGAGATTATTTTCACAATGATTGGGGTATTTGCATATGGGTCGTCTGGCTTTTATGTGACTCTAAAGTCTGATTTTTAAAGTTCTTGTTCTACAGAAAGTAAATAGGGATAGTTCTCTGCATCTTTACTTATCATTGTTGCCAGGCAGTTATTTTGGGCTTTCATGGAGAGGAGTGCTAAGAATTTCATCTTTCGTCTACTTCAAATTTCATTTAAATAACATAAGCCTTTGTTTTGGAACGTAGTTCACATTCCCAATATGATTGACTTTTAGCACATAGTTTACATTCTCAATATGATTGACAATATTATTTTGGTTTTAAATTGTCCAATGAGTTCTTAGGGCATAATATGTAGCAACAAAAATGTGTGGCGATCACTTATTGTTTCCTGGTTTAGGCCCTATCCTATATGTTAAGGAGCAAGCAGTTTTGTTATCATGTCACATTTGAAAAATGAAATGTTTTACAGTGTGAGTGTCTTCTTGGGATCTTGCTCAGTCATGGTAGATCAACCTTTGAACAACTAATGCAACGGCTATTTGAAAACCAACCTGAAGGTAACTGACCATGAAAATATAGGTCCAAATGATTTTTTTTGTTTGCTCTATTTATTTACAAATTGCATTTATTTATTTTTCTTTGGATTTCTTGACACTACTTTCCCCTTAGACGATACATCTATTGTTTTCCTTGTACAACTTTTATGCAGTGAGTGGCGATATTACTGATCAAATGAGAACACGCTTTGCTAAGCTTGTTCAAGCTCGCTACGTGGAGCGTTGTCCAGCTTCTGAACCGCAACTCGTATTGGACTCGGAAGAGGGAACAATAACTAAAAAGAAGGTGGGTTTTAAGCAACTACATCTTGAAAAATAAAGGAAGCATTTTTCATCTTAACAAATATACTTCATTGAGAGGATTAGGGTTATGGCATACGGTACTCCAAATGGAGGCATCCATTATCCATGCTCTTGATGGGATGGTGGAAGTTAATTCATTGAGGTGAGTGCCACATTGGCCCCCCATTGCAGATGATCTCCACTGTCTATCAGCAGGAATGGACAAATATACTTCGATGAAATGTGTGGTATACCTTCCCTTTGTCTCTCAACAACTGCATTATGCCTGTGATCTTCAGTATGTGCATGAGTGTAGCAGTAACAAGAGTTGGCATCTGTTGCATGCCATACGACTATTGCATTATTGAATTATGCTAGACTTGATCAAGAATTCTGATATATTTTTGAAGGGAAAGTATCATATAATCCAATGGGTTAGTGGAGACCAGTCATTCTAATCATTGCAATTATGATGAATGATGAACAGTGATGGATATAGATTGAGATCCAATGAGATAGGCCATGACTGCAATGACAGATCTCACTTTCCATCACCGTCCATTTCATAGGAGGGTGTTGACTTCCATGGATTGTTTTTTATTATGGTGTGCTTTTCCTGTTTTTAGTGCCACTAGTAGAAGCCTCTTAATCATTCTGATTTGGTTTCAATACAAAATCCAAAAGATGTCATAGTTTTCAAAATTTCATTGTTGCATTGGACCTATGTGTGATCACTTGGGTAAGGTTTACACGAATTACCAAGCCACATGAGTCACAGGTTATTTCGTGATCCTAGACTCACAGTTTTGTGTTGCGATATTTCCTTGTTATACCACCAGTAACTCTCCTGACCAGCAGGATGAGACTTGCTCTATGACTTGGGCAAATGTATTGAATTATTATGTTGGGGTGTTTCTATCTTTTGCAAGGCCTAAAGGGTGCCCAAGGTCTACCTTCCTGCCTGCTCATTCGTCCACTCCCTCCAATTTCTGAAATTGTTAGTTCATTGGAGAATTTCAATATCTAACCTGTAGGGTAACTTTTTTTTGTGAATGTTATGTTAAAGCATCTGAATCATCTCAAGATTAACAGAAGACGAGAAGGACTACTTTTCTTGGCATCCTTTTGTGATGAGAAGCTCTTCTCCTCATAGTTTAGTTGTATCGATATTGCGTACATTAAAAACATTGTGGTTTGTATCAGTATTTGTTTTGATTATCACCTGTATGTAATGGCTGGGAAACTTCTTGTATTTCTGTATATCTTTATGGCATGGTATGGGCACAGTAATGCATGAACTGAAATCTATCAATTCAGTACTTCAAAATCCTGTATTTTATGTAACAATGTTTGGTAATGAAATGGAAGTTTTAAAATAAAGGACTTCTTGCCATAAAATTGAGTGGCGAAACTTAAGTTTTAAAAATTTAAATTCACAGGTATAGTGAAATCTTAGAGTGCATGCCCATATGTAATGGAATAGTCAAATAACAAAAGAAAAAAATATAACAAAAGAAAAAATGATGCTTTGTATATTAATATATGTATAGGATTGTTTTATATTATTCATAAAAGTTCTTTAATGTTTTATTTTTTTTAAGTTTGTACCATGTATAATCTTTTTATTTTTATTTTTGGGAAATTTTGGTACCTGTGGCGTCAGTGGTCATGCACTATATTTTTTATTTGAATTATTGGCATATAAAAAGTAATTTATTTCCTGAATTTAAACTTCAACTGCCCATTCGATTCTCTTCTTTTGCTGAGATAACTTAGCTATTTTTCTTGTAATATTGTTTTACAGCTCAAAGAAATTGTGACAGATGAAGAACGTGCTGTCATGGCTGCAGCCCCCTTGGAAGCTGAGAGGTTCTCATTTCCCACATATTCTGATAATGATGCTTCTACTGAATCTGAAATTATGGCAGATCAAAGTATTTTAGTGGGGGAAAAGGTTAGTGAAGTTTTATTGGATCTGTGTATTGATCTTGATCGACAATCTTATTTGTAGATCTGAAACTATGAAGGAGATCATGTTTCTAGCTCAAAGAAATAAGAAATAAGTTGCTGTTAATCCATATTTTTTGTGTAAAAGCAATTAAACCCTTCATTTCGTTGACTTTTCACTCTTGGAGGTAGACCTTGGAGATGCAAGCAGCTTGCATTTTACAGCAAGTGTATGGTAAACGTGTATACGATATGTATGCTGAAAGATACATAGGCATCATGTCTAGCATCCATTCTTGAATAGATGACTGGATGAGCCATTGCAAATAGATGATGGACAAACTGGCGGAGCTCTTGTTCATTCCACCATTTGTTTTGTGAAAGATGGTGGATTGCCTACCCTTGCATTTTCAAGTGCACATTTTGTGTGCTATATATCGCTGAAAAAGGAAGTTGTTTTATTCTTTGAAGGCTCAGTTAAAGAAGCAAATTAGTTACTTTCAACTGTAAACGGTCCCAATAGGCCAACATTTAGAGAGCTATCTTGGGAAGAACAAGATAATAACTCTTATGATCATAATCTCCCATGTCTTCCTTTTTTTGTGGGGGATGATGGAAGGATTCAAGCAATTCATCAGCAGATACAAGTTGGTAGAGATTGACTCTGCTGGGACCCAAAGATGCATGGTCTGACCATAGAGAAAGCAACTGTATGCGGACAATGTTTGAGTTATTCTTGTCTCTTTGGATTCAGAGTCAATCATATGAGAATCAAGCTTGATGGCACTACCTAAGCCGGTGCTTGACCATTGGCCTACAAAGTTCTAAGAGGAGCGGGCCTTCTCCCTTTTGGTTCGAGATTGTATTTGTGGAAGATAAATCACTGCTCAGACTGATCAGGGAGTGGTGGACAATCGTTCAAAGTGAAGGGTGAGCCTGGTGTAAACTGTGTAATAAACTGCAATTACTCAAGGCAAAGATAAAGAAATGGAGTTGGGGGAACTTTGGAAGTATCCAGAGCAAGGTTGAGGAGTTGATGGCTGAGATATTGAAGATAGATAAGCTGGAGGAAGGATGATCCCTTTCACCGTGTGGTCATGAACAGAGAACGCAAGCTGAAAGTTTTACTAGAGGATCTTAGGTGGTTAGATGAGGTTGAGGAACAAATGGCTTGAAGAAAGTGATGATGATACACAATTTTACATGCCATAGCTAACCACAGGAGGGTTAAATGCAATCCAGGGCTTCACTATCTAGAGCAGACATTATGAAGATGTGGAGGAGATGGAGAGGGATATAATGAAATTATTCTCAGAACTCTTTCATAGCTGAAAGCAGGCTTCCCTTCTCCACTTATTGGATCCCATTCAAGAAATCACCATAACAAAGTATAGAATGATTGAGAGTCATTTTGAGGAGGAATAAATTATGAAAGCTGTATTTAGCCTGGGTAGAGATCGAGCTAGCACCATATTGTTTCCCATTAGCATTTATTCACAATTTATAGTATTTATTGAGACCCGAAGTTTGCTCAGGTCTTGGGAATTCTTTGATAGGGGAAAGATCAACATTTAATGTCTCATTCTTTGCTCAAATCCCAAAACAGATGGTATGGAAAGATATTAAGGGCTTGAGGCCAAGCAGTTTGTTATGCAGGGCCTACAAGATAGTGTTAAAGTTCTTGCAAGCAGGCTACAAGAGGTTTTGCCTAAAGCTATATCAACTCGACAGGCAGCCTGCTATATCAACTCGACAGGCAGCCTTTCTCAAAGATCGCCAAATTGTTGATGGAGCACTTGTGACTTATGAGTGGTCACATTCTAGACATACGAGGCATTTGTAAATAAGACAGAGAGAATTCATATTATCGGGTAGAACGGGCCTACCTTGACAATACTATGCGGCTCATGGGGTTCAGCAATGGTTGACGAAATTGGGTTGTGGGGTGTTTGTTGATTCTGGCTTGTCATTCTTAGTCAATGGTTAGCCTGATTTTTATTTTCGAAGCTCATGAGGCTTAGGCAGGGTGATTCCCTCGATTCCCCAGAACTCTTAAAAAAAAAAAAAGCAAAAAAAGAAAAAAAGCAAAGAATAGAATACACTAATTTCGCCAGTCTTATCAAGATAGGGCATTTTTCATTCATAAACTGGGGTATAATAGTTCCAAGGGACCTTATTCATCATGTTTCATTTACCAAGAACTGTTTATTGCAGTTGAAAAACCCTTGATCTGAGCTTTTAAGCTTTTTCAGACCCTAAGAAAGAAGAAAACTACAGTTACAAATACAGGAATCTAGAAATCCATATATTTTGTCTAATATGTTGCAAGTGCAGCCATCTAGTTGTTCTTCATGTTCGATGAGTTTGTGATCTTGATCTCCTCATGCTGATGAGTCTTGATTGATACTCTTTGCTTCATTTGGCTCTAGAAAGGCTCAGAGTTTGTTTTATAGTCTTCCCATTCGAACCATTCGTTCTCTTCTTTTTGAAATGATTCTTACAACCCTTTTATTTGGGTTCTAGAGTTTTTTGGCAAAACATAAGAATGATTTGATGATCCCCCCTCTTTCAGCATCCAAATCAAATTCTATATGATGCCATAATTAAGCTACAACTACTTAAGATCATCCCATATTCAATTCGTGTTCAAATGTTTAGGGAATAGATAACCAGAAATGGGTCATCGGGAGACACATTTCCATGGAGATCATTGATCTTCTTAGTTTGAATCGCAAATGAAAATGGAATATGCATCTTCAGCAGAAAGCCATCTCAACATTTTGAGGGCCAGAGCTTGGAGATGTGTATTCTACCAAAATAGGTGGAATTCCAATCTTGTGGAGATGGCTCCTCACATAGAGCCATTTTACATATTACAAACCCACCTATAGTGGCTTGAGGTGTGAATGAAAAAATGAAGCCCTAGCTCTCTTTCACCTCTCAAGATACCACCCCTCACAAGCTCTCTCACCCCATGCCTCTGCACTCCATCTGCAACTAAGCCCAGATATGCTCTCTCTCTCTCCTCCCTGCACTCCCTTCTGCCTCTCTCTCGCCTCCCTACTCTCTCTCTCTCCCCCCATCTCTCCCCCTTTGACCTCTCGGCTCACCTCTCTGTCTCTCTCCCCCTCCTCTCTTACCTATCTGCTATCCCTCGTCTCGTCTCGTCTCGTCTCCCTTCTCTCTCTCTCTCTCTCTCTCTCTCTCTCTCCCGCTCTCTCCATCCCTTCCTTCCTCCTCATCTGACCTCTAGCTTCACTCCTCTTTGTCTCTGTCTCCTATTTTTCTTCTGCCTGTAACAACATCAGTAACTCTCTCTCTGTGATCTCTGCTGTTCTCAAAAACAGTAGCGTATATGTCAAGATTAGATTATATTTTTGACTTATATTCATCTTAAAATCGTGCAAACTTGGTCTCCATATTCACATGCACTATAATGCATAGATCAAGATCAAAGCACCAAGATTTCACTGCTGGAAGAAACGTGAATTAAATCAAAGAAAGCAGCGTTGAATTCACTTCTCTGCTGCTACTGTTGCAGCAGATGATCAACACTATTTTGATCTAGTTCCAGCTAAATCCAGATGATAAAAATCATCAATGGATCATCTTATCATATGAATAGTTCAAATCTATCATTTGATCGTCAAATCTGATGGTTTAATATTCATAAAGCAGATCAAATTGACCTAAACAGAGCATATCTTTGCTGTTCTCTGCTGTTGCTGTTGCAGCAGCTAAATCGTTTCAAAAACCTTTAATAGTTCTTACAAATTAATTAAAACATAATTGAAACATGTTCAATTTGTTTCACAACAGATCCCAGCAGTTTTTGAACAAATATTTCAATCAAAACATGGATCTAAGCTTTAAATTTTGCAGCTGGTTTTTCTCTTAACAAAACTTCAGCAAAAGCAAGTGTATTTGACACCGAAATTTGTGGTAATTCTCTTCACAAAATTGATCAAGTTATGTTGATTCTAATAATCAAGGCCTCAATCATTCAGTTCAATCGCATATTTCTCAAAACCTTGCATAATGTTTGGCAATAATACATCAATTATGTGATACAGTTTTCTGCTAAAAATCAGCAGAAAATGCTGCTGCAAATTCATTTAAATGATTCAAATTTATTTCAATTCATTTTTTGAACTTGTAGTTATGTTGATCTGCAGTAGTATCCAAAAATAATGGGTTTTCTTATAGATGAGAAATATGTTTGATCTATGTAACCTGGTTCAGTTAATTTGCTGCTGTTACTTGAGTTAGATTTTGTGTAACCACGTTAGATATTGGAAGACAAACTAGAGAACTTTAAAATGTTGCAGTTTCTTCCTCACTTGTATAAAACTACAAAAAGGATTGAAAAAAGATCTACCCACAATAATGAGTATTGCACGATATTGAGGATGGTAAATTTTCTTTTTTCTTAAAAAGGATGTAATAAATTTATGAGAGACACATCCTCCAGGCAATCCAAATAGTAGACAGGCATCATCGAGGTCTCTTACTGGATGCTATCCTAGGGCTGAGAATGGGTTGGATCGGGTCCAGAGCCACCGGGATCTAGATTCGGATTCAAAAAGTATACATGGGATCCAAAATATTCAAGATCCGAATGCAAAAAGTATACATGGCATTCGGATCCGGACCTGATCGGATCCAAAAAAATAATTTTATATATTATATAAAAAAAACATATAAAAAATATAATATAATATATATATATATATATTATCAATAAAAAAGCATACATGTATATGTTACTTTATATCATCATCATCATCATAGCCTTTTTCCAATTAATGGGGGTCGACTACACGAATCCTGGTCTATCATTCTGCTCAATTAAAGTAAACAGATATTGTAGGTTCATGATTCATGATAAGTTTTAGTTGAATTTTACGTTGGCTGCCTACCTAACACAACCCAGCCCCTTTGTCTGGGCATGAGACGGGTTAAGAGAAAGTTTAAGGTCATCACCCTTCTTAGACCTATATTACTTTATATATAAAGTAATATTTAATATTTTAATAACTGGGTCGGATCCGGATCGGATTCACCTATACTTGGATCTAATCCAAATTACTATTTGGATCTTCTGACTCGGATCTGAATTAGATCCATACCCGGATCTGAATTAGATCCGAAATTGGGGTTTCGGTTCCCAACTAGGTAAATTCTCAGCCCTATGCTTTCCAAACAGCAGACACCTATATTCTAGGAGATGCCGATTCCAGGAGATGCCAATTCTAGAAGAGGCATCTCCCAGGACAGGCATCTCTAGGTATCCAAACAGGCCCCTACGTTTCAAATTCAAATCAACTCAAGTGGTAAATTGGCCGTAGTTAGGCAGGCAGATTTTTATATTTCAAGGATCAATCTTAGCCAAATATATGGTGTAAATCCCTTTCTCCTTCCCTAGGACATTGGCTTGTAGATCATACAAAGTATACCAGAAAACCCTGCTGATTATTCAATATGAGTTTCACATACATGTGGCCGAGGTTGGGGTAATACCACAACTATAGGCCTTTTGATCCCACAGGAAGTCATAGTAGGTGGGTGTCGCATTGTGCTGAATTAGTCAATTGAAATTTTGACCGGTGCTCGTGAAATAACACTAGGATGTGAATTGGGAGTAGCGAGAGACGATCAAGATAAACTCTTAGTCTGGGTCACGATGCTGTTGCAATGCAAAAGTGGGCGAGGTTTGAGTCCTCTAAATTGGTCTTAGAAACTTGGATCCTGAATGTGCAAAGTCATCAGTGAAGGGGATTTTCTCTGTTGTGATCGCTTGGGCTAGTGGAAACAAAAATGTCCTTGGCAATTACTTTTTTCTATTTGAAGGAGCGTTTCATCTACAGGTGGAAGTATAAAGTTCCGACACCCTTGGAGGTTGTCCAATAAGCTAGCGGACTCCCCAGCAAAGAGTATTCAAGTCCCTTAGTTCGGCGACCATTTTCGTTAGTAGAAATTATCGTGAGACGTGAGAGATCTGCTTTTTATACATTTCAGGTGGGGTAAATAGGTGCATAATTTTTTTTTTTTGGCTTTTATTTTTTTGTAAAGCGATTATTTTTTGTATATGAGAAGTGCATTTAACTAGTTAATGTCCCCCCCCCCAAATCCAAAACAACCCCACCCCAAAAAAAAAGAAAAAGAAAACGAAAAGGAAAAAAAGCTTTGGAGATATCGAATATATGGTGGTAGTAACGACTGGAAGCTGTTGCATTGTTGGTGGTGAATTCTTAACTCTAAGGGTGGAGGGACAGTTTTTGATTGTATAGGAAGGGAGTCCCTGTGGTGGAACCAGTGCGGATGAGAAATTTTGGACTTCTCATGTTGGAGTTTGTAATGGTCCCATCTTATGGACTTTATGAGCTTTAGTAAGTTGGTCAACTCCTTGGGTTTCATAAGGATATGGTTTGAGAGAATGGAATAGATCCTTTCAGAAGTCCAGGTATGAAGTAAAGAGTGGGGTCTATCCATGGGCCCTTGGTAGTGTTCTTGGGAAGAATTAGAGTGATGAGAGCTTGAGATCCATAGTTAGAAAGGTAAATGATGGGCAAGAGGTCTAGGCGAGTTTATGAAGGAGCACAAATGTGGGGGAATGTAGCAAGTGAAGAAGGGACATTAGGAGAAGGATGCACTCTCTGATTCTTGGTGGAGCTTCGACTAGGGTAGAGAATATCTCTGGTTGGCAAAAAATGAGGATTGATGGTGCTGTATAATTGATGGGATGCCTATAGCTAGCAATGAGAGGGGTGTTAAGATGGAAGAGTCAGGTGGCAATAATGGGACTACCTACTGTCAAGGGGTATAGAGGTAAAAAAGACATCTAGGGCCATTTTTGCCATTCTCACTTTAAAGATGGCAAGGGACGGTATTTCTAGTTTTCTGTTGAACATCATCTATTTAATATGAAAGAATTAGAGATCTAGATCTGTTTTGTTTCATCCCATCTGCTTTAGGGTTTATTTTGTGAATTAGTCATTTCATATATTCTTTACTCTCTGAGTTCTGTTTCATATAAATTTTTATGAGTCTCTTTTTCTTTTCTTTCAATTTATCAATTAAACTTGATTTGTTTTCTGCTTCTAAGGATTCAATCAGGTATGTTTAATGGATTTATTTTATTGGTTTTGTACATTAGTATGTGTTTTGAAATATAAAGATGTTCATTTGCTCAATTTTGGTGCTGTTTTAAGTTTTTCCTCAGAGAAAGCGTGGGGTCATGGAGATGGATGATGATTCCATTGTTTTAGCTTGTGAGAAAGATGTTCTCTGGCGTGCCAATTTTGAGGAATTTGTATGCAGTCTTAGACATAAGGTGCATGTTCGCTCTAAACTTGTTCCCATACAAACCTACTTCTATTGAAAAATGGAAAATATGCACACATGACATCTTTTGATAGCATCCCAGGAGCACTTTGACATTATTGTGCTAAAACTCTCTCTCTTACTTCTTTTTGTTTCACATCACATTTTTACATCATAAACTAATAATTATTCCTTGTTTTCTGAAAATGTATAATATTGGTTAATCCTATATAAAAAATGTAAAATATTTGTTTAACTTTGAAATTGGCGAATATGCTGTCTCATATGGGATCATTTGATATCATCTAGTAACATGCTTAACTTTCTTAAGCAATACCCTTTTCACATTACAAACTGGCATCCTAAAATTTCAGTGGCTTTTTTAAAAATTTGATTGGTCTCCCACGAATACCTCAACACTTTAGCATTGTTTTGAAATTACATTATGCCCACAGCCCCAAATATTGCAGATGTTGAGTGCTCCATCAAATCCCTCAACACTAATCAATTTTCACTTTGCAATATCCAAACATGGATGTTTTCCCTTGAGACACTTCCACACAAAATCAGAGAAACGGCTTTCTGGAACATATACACTACTTTATTTGTATTAACCTGTGAAATATTATTTCCATAAATGTGTGAGTGCTATTTCTTTTCAAAGTCAATAACTCATTCATTTTCTTTTTCATTCTTAAGGCCTGTATAGCTAATGTGAGACCAAGGTTGGACATAGGGGCTGCAGTTGTTCTGGAAGCAATACTTAAGGAGACGAGAGCCAAAGAAAAACAAAACAAAGCAGAATATTCAGGTGAGACATGATGCATTCGTTTGTACATAAAAAGGGCTGTATTGTCATCATATCATCATAATAATTATTAGGATATCCCATAAATGTGTTATTTTCTTTGATATCAGTTCTGAACATTATACAGTAGCATGCTAGGGTATGAGTAAAGTATTTTGTAATCATAGAAATTCTTTGCCATTAGATTAATAAATTTTGAATGCATGATTTCTGGGTATGGATTGATTTGTGTCACAAATATTGATCTGTTGCCAATATCTTCTGACCCAAATTCAAAGGTTGGACTCTGCTCTGGCCCGGATCTTAGAGGAGTGAAATTGAGATGCCTCAGCGGGGTTCCAAAATGAAGATCAAAGAAAATAAGTATTGATATGACTTGGATGAGTCCTGAGAAGTGGTCTGGTGCACTAGCCCAGTTGAATCGGGACCAAGCTTTCCCAAGTTTTTGAACACTCTATAAAAGATTTTCACAAATGGATGAAACTATCAAAAAAAAAGAAAAAAGAAAAAAGAAAAAGAAAGACTACCTTATTTTCAGTATGGTCATCTTTATTCTCATAAAGTAATATCGATAAAATAGGATTTTATTTTGAAAAGTAATATTGATAAAATAGGATTTATTTTGAAAAAGGGGAGTGTCTTATCAGGAACATAATAACTTGGTGGCTATAACTTAAGGTTGGTGCATAAAAGGTGACGCTGTACATACATATTGTAAAGCAGGAACATGAGTAAGTTATCTAAAAGTAAAAATTGAAAAGGTTCATGATATTTTCAATGTAAAGTCTTTGGCACTGTTTGGTTTTACCTCTTTCCATCAACGGGAATAAAAATTCCTAAAAGTTGCACTCGAATGGCTCATGTGCCACCATATGCAGGCACAGGTCTAGGAATGGAACACCTCTTATCAGCAAAATGCCGCCGATGGTGAGGTTTTGCTGATGGCTTATGACAATTTAAGAGTTTCTATTTTCATGATTATCTTTGACAGCCGGTGAAGATAACATTTGATATGGCTACGAGAACCAAATGGGGATTTGTATGAAACATATTTGTCTAATTTTTCATTTTTCCTTTTTTTGTTCTTTTTCTGATTTGGTTTTTTGGTTTCTAAATATCTGAAGTCTTCCCTTGAAGAGGGCAATTCTAAGCTCTTCACATCTCTAAAAAAATTGAAGTAGACCTGCGAAGGAATCCTGATGACTTCCCCCAGTGGGCTCTGAGATGAAGATGTTTCAATTGTGTTTGGACATCACATGCGCTTCCCTTGCTACTTAATTGATTGTGGTGTTATGCTAGCATTCTCCTGGTCCAAGATTTATTCTAGTGGCCAAATCTGTAGTTTAACCATATCATTGCCAAAATAGAAATTACTACATACGACTTCAACATTATTCCTGGCTACGCTAACCACCATACATGAAGCATTGCCGCCCATATGAGCTAGTGACTATTCCCTAAGATCAACACCCCAGCTATATTTTTATTCTATCCCTCTTTGGTCATCTCCCTTGAGAATACCGACAAGAAAATCCCCAAATCTGTGTATTTAGGCTTAAATTGGATGCTTTTGTCTCTTTATTGATTCATTGAGTCTCTTATAGATGGGGGAAAAAGAGTTTTAATTTTTATTTTAATTTTTTTGTTAAGTGAGCAGGGCAGAGATAACTACATATTTTGAGTTAAGTGGGCTAGGTAAATTGGACTAACTATTAGTTGGTGCAAACCAAACATTTCCTTTTATTGTTTTAAGCGTTGTTTTAAACGACTGACTTGCTTTAGAAACCTGACATGGCCAGGTCTGAGTCAACTTGGTGACTCTTGTGCGGTTCCAAAAGAATTAAAGAAAAAACCCAAAAATAGGAAAAATAATGGAAATTACAGAAAATAAAAAAGAAAATCATAAATTTTTTTAGAAAAATTAATTACAATGATGAAATGGTAAAATTTTTTTAGAAAAATTAATTACAAAGTGAAAAATGATGAAATGGTAATTTTCATATGTGGATCGTGTTGCTTTGATACTTTTGTCATTTTTGGCTTGCACTTGATAGAATCATAATATAAATCTCATTTTAGGCTTACACTTTGATAGAACCATAATATAAATCTCTATGATTCTATAATTTCTATTGCAAATTGAGATGACTACCATCAATTTCCAAGTTCCAACTTTATATTAAAGAAGTTCCATGTTCAACCAAATAAACATCACAAAGAGTCAGAGTCAGACAAATGCGCGATCTGCTAGAGACATAATGACACATAAAAAAAGGGGCTTTCCAACCCTAAACATTGCTCTACTGCCTATATGAATGTAGGGTCATAATCATCATGATTGTCTTTGTGGTTTGATATAGGGAAATAGATAGAGAACAGAGAACCAACACTACTTCTGGCCAAACACAAACAACAATTAGAAGAAACCTAGGGTTTCTTCCCTAAACCAACTAGGTTTCAAAAGCCTAGGGCTTTTGCTTCCTTTTTTCCAAAATAGTGTCACATGAATGAGCCCACGCACCAACTATTGTATTCTTTTTAATGTTCAAAAGACAATACTTGTCCATTCAAATAATAAATTGACCCATATGTCCAATTTAATTGACTTTTAAAATTCATGACACTAACTTTTAAATAAAACGATTAAAATGCCCTAACAAGTTCAACAATTAAAAATGGCTACAAATAACTAGAAGATCATCCCAAACAACGCGTGCTCTTCTTGTTCTTCTTGGTAGCCCTCCTAGGGTTCACATCCTCCAAATATGCATGAGACTTGGGCCGAATCTGTTTCTCCCATAGAAGATACTTGTCTCCTTGACCACTTGAAGTACTTTGCTCATCATTATTCTCCCAAGATTAAGGAAAACTTGCCTTGAGTTAGAACCTTCATCTTCATCCATCTGGTCCATAATACTTGGACAATCAACAATGTTGAAGATATTCGAAGTCTCCATATGTGAAGGTAAAGCCTAGGGTTCCCCCCTTGGAACTGAAAAAAAAAACTGAAACAAAACTGGGAAGGCTTGTTGAATCTTTGTCTAGGGTTACCCCCTTAAGACTTAGCATACCCCACGCTCGGTTATCAAACTGATGGTGCACTCTAATTCTTTGGTCCTACTGAATTCTCTGAATTGGAAAGCAACTCAGGCAATTCCCTCTAACTAAGCTCAGGCTTAGAGCATGGGTTTCTCATGCCCTTTAAACTGTTGGGGCATGCCACCTTGTGGTACCTCCCCTAAACGAGGATAGAGGGCTGGGCATGCCCCCTCTCTATGCCCTAGGTGATGCGTGCCACCCCTAGGTCTCTATGGGTGGTGCATGCCACCTTAGAGAGGAGACTAGATAGGGAAGAGAGAGGAGAGAGAGAGGTTTGAAAATCAGATGATGATAATGAGGGGGGGACCCCCTTTGTATAGGCCTCAATGGCCCTAGGGTATTCCTTTCTCAATTGGGATTCAATTTGACCAAAAACTTTATTGGTAATCTGTGAGGTGAGAGAAACAAATTAGAGCCACCCATACATAAAATCAGCGATCATGATTAGGAAGGAATCTAGGAACCTTTATGCCCTGAAGCTGACCCATATCCATCTCTAGTCAGACTACATCTAGATCTTCCATAGTCCAATAAAATTTGCTCTTACTCACTTAGAATAACTTCTAATATCTTTAGAAATCAAAGTCAACATGAAGATCCAATTCAAAGTCAAAGTCAAAATATTTCAAACTTTATCTTATGATCAAATCTCTCACAAATTTTTCAGCACATAAAATATTTTGGAATAATTAAGTGGGTTATCCCACCTATGTGGGCCTTGTGGCCCATGTGGGACCACGTTCCACTCCATGTGGGTCCCACCTAGCCCCCATAATCTTCCAAAATATAATTTATGCACTTTTAATGGTTTATAGCCATAAAGTAATTTAAAAATTCTAAAAATGTTTAAAAACCACGGGAACATAAATAATGCTTAAAATGATGCTTCTTATGTTAAAAAAAGAAGAAGAAGCTCAAACACTCAGAAATAGCTCTAGAGGTCGATTGGTGCCAATAGATCAATAAAAGTAACTATCAGAGAACTCCGCCCATTCTTGAAACTGTGATCCACAACTATTTTCTCAGACCAACCCACGGGATCCATGACCCACAATCATTCTTCAAGGGCTTATGACTGGCCTGTCAAAGTTTGGATGATAAATAGTGGAACCAAAGTCCTAGTATGTGGATTACAGGTATCTCCCAAAAGCAAATCACATGTACATATCATCTATAGTGCAAGGGGGACTCTCTACGCACATGTACACTTATCCCTTTACATGTTTGCTTCTCAGTATGCGGCTGTGATATGTACGTGCCATTTAGAAGATTGATGATTTGTCCCTCGCTCTCACGGGTCTACAACCACACACCGGAACCATGAAGTTCTCTTGGCCTACAAATAATCCTTTGGCAGTTTTCCTACCTCAACAAAGGGTGACCCTCTTGAAAACCCTCAATGGTAATTCCTACATGCCTAGGAGAGATGGTTTTGGACATGGCTCGGGCTATAGACCGCCTAACCCTAGGTCAGTCAACCAACATACACTCCCACTAAAGTGCTCAATTCATTATATTTTTATTATTTTGACATGCTCTCACGGGCTTTAAAGCCCATAAAGCCCCAACAAATTTGAATGTGGATATACCTGATTTTGATGGTAATCCTAAACCTGAGGAGTTTATAGATTGGTTAAATATTATAGAAATGGTTTTTGATTATAAGTTCTTGAAAATAAAAAGTAAACAAGTATTGCCATAAAATTGAAGAAGTGTGTCTTTGGCATGGTGGGAACAACTTAGGACTAGAAGGGAGAGAATGGGAAAGCCCAAAATTAATACATGGGAAAGAATTATAGGAAAAATACCTACCTGGAAATTATCTACAGTCCATTAATCATAGGATCAATAATCTTTATTAGAGTGTAAAAGAGTATATTGATGGACATACCTCACTGCCAACTGGTTCATCCAAATGTCACGATACTGTGGATGTTGGGGGCAGTTCTAGTCGCCTAAATCGCCCAGACAACAACGTTATTAAGTGCTTTAAGTGTTCGGGAATCGGACCCATCTCTTCTCATTGCCCAAATAGGAAGTTTGTCAAATTTATGAGGAAGTTTTCAAAGAGGACAACAAGTAGTCGTTTGATGGAGATCTTGTTTATGATGAGATACCAGAAGATGAGCCTGAAGTGACCTTTAACAACTATGGAGAATCTTTATTATCACCATTTTGTTTCCAAAATCCACAAGTTGTAGACATTGGGATTTGCCACCAATTTTCGATAAATGCTTAGATAAACTACAAGATTTCTTAGGATATCCGACCAATGATAAGGATCAAGATGAAGATGAAGATGTTCGGAAGAGGATCTTACTTGTGAAGAATATGGAGAGAAGGCAGAAGGGGACCGATCAAAATCATGGCCTTTCAAGATCTCAAGGATATCAAAGAGGTGAAGCATTCAAGAGATTTGCAGCATTGAAATCAAAATAGCATGGGGGAAGTGTGGTTGACTCATAAACTGCAAATTGTGGCCTTGGATTTAGAGAGTAATCAAATAGATGTCGAGAAAGGCTCTAAACACCAGAAAATGGGCTTTGTAGTTTCATACTGAATTTCAATGAGAATTCAGGAATAGCTGAAATTTGTACCAATTCCTTACCATCCATACGAGGGTCTGTTTCTTGAGGATTTCTTCTACCATGAATAATACTTGATCCAACAATGAAGAAGGTGTTTTTTGATGTTGGATTCATCTTAGCTTACTTCAAAATTTGAGGAAGAGTTTTCTCGAACCAGGGGAGATTGATGCAGGACAAGATGCCTCTTATTTTTGAATTTTTGTTATTAAGCTTTAGGGATGTAGTTTTTGGATTTTTTTGGGGGTTCAGTGTTAGGGTTTTTTAAGGGATTCTAGGGTTTTTCTTAGTATTTTTATGAGTGTTTATGGAATATTTTTTTTTATAAGGGGTAAAAATATCCTTATGAATTTTGTACATCTCCCAAATACAATTAACAATTTCCCAAAAAAAAATATCATTACGAATTTTGTATTAAGTTAGTATTATTTAGTTAGTCTTATTTTGGTGAGGGGCATTATGGACTAAAAGCTCTGGCTTCTTTGAAGGCCTAGAGGCCTTCACATCAATTTCTAGGAACAAATAAAAGCTTTGGTTTCTTTGAAGTCTTAGTTAGGGTTTGAGAAAAAACCCTAGGTTCTTTTATTGATTGCTTTTGCTTGTTTGTATCTTGCCGATTTTATTGTTTTCTTCAAATTTCCTACATTAGCAACTCTTTTGGATCATATCACACCACACCCTTGATCAGTCCTTGCTTGTCTCTACCTAGCTCATATGTGGATGGCTGACATGGTATAGTGCGCACGTGCCACAGTGGCCCCTTTGACCACGTTAATGAATGATGCCATAACATTGTTACTTTTATTTATGCCACATCATTGATACTTTTGTCGATGCATGCCTTTTTGAATAAGTTTTCTTTCATGCTTTGCAAATGTTATGTTGAAGTGTTATTTGACGACTTCTTGAATCAACAGCCCCTTTCTCGATGAATTCCATTGTACAGGCATTACTAGGAAGTCCTCATGGCCATCTGGAACATGTTAGAGCTGCCCTTAACCAATTGGGGGCCAGTTGCACAGGAGCGACAGAGGGATCCTACAGAATAAGTATCCACTGCCTTGTTTTTTTAATTCATTTATAATTTGCTCAAAACAAAGTTGAAGAGAATGCCCGTATTGTATAAATATCTACTAATTTATTTTTAGTTCACTTGATTCCTTTTATAATTACAATTAAACCAAAATTATGTGTTTCCTTGACTTGGCTAGGTCTAAAGAAAATAATTGAAGCTGCTCAAAATAGTGAGGTAGACATTTTATTCTTATTTTCTGTTTAACATATTCTGATCTCTCTGTTTGGAATTTATATGAGCTTTGTTTGATTCTTTTTATGATATAATTATTTAATGCTTCAGATGGAGTCTATTGTGCTAAAAAGATACGGAAGCGAGGGTTGCAGAATATTCAGATTGTTGGCTGATAAAAATGGCATGATTGAGCAAAAACAGGTGAGATTTTGTTACCCCATTTCATGGGGCCCATCGCTAATGGCTTAATATAACTGAGAGATTTGGATTTTGCACATTCCATTTCATGTACATGTCTAATATAAATTTTTTTTAGTAATTGTTTGATGTTGGAAATCTAGAGCATCTGATGAGCTCATAATTAGAAACTTGTACCCTTTACACTTTTCTACCGTGCTCTGGAACCATATTGATTCCTTCGCTTGGTATATTTTTGTCATGCTTCTTTATGCTTTTTTTCTTTGAAATATTTGTGTTATAATAACTTTAATTAATTGTTTGGAATAACTCAACTTATGAGTGTGCCATCCATGCTTACCATTCCCAGGCCCATGGTACTTAAATTTCAAACGTTTGTCGTTTGTATTATTGTAATCCAAATATTTCAAAGTGACATGCTCAAGTTGTGTTTAGCATCAGTAATGGCTTTGGAGCAATGTCTAGAATCTCGTAACTCACTCTCTGACTTGATGACAGCCAAAACTGAGTCAACTCACCCAAGTTTTTCAATTTGGTTAAAAATTTCTTATGCTGATAGCGTGACCAAGGCTAAATGGGGAAACACATACCATTGCAAAGATCACAACATTTTTTTTGTTGATCATAGTATTTCTAATTTAAAAACAGAAAAAGGGGCCAAACTACAGTTTGTCATAATAAGTCTCGAGGACCCGGCTAGCTGAGTTGACTCAGATGAGTTTCAAAAACTTGACATAAGTTTCTCTCTCTCTCTCTCTCTCTCTCACTATACTTGTCTGTTTACATCAATTTCTCCATTGTTATACTGCATTGGAATCTGAGAATTCAGGAACCAAATGCCATTTTATGGCTAGTTTGAGGTTTTTTGGACTCCATTGTAATGTGTTCCAGAGTTTCTTCTTCTTCAGAGTTTAAAGTGCAGAGTGTTGAGTAATTCTGAAAGGTTAACACATTGGAGAGGAGATAGCTTCCTGAATCCCTAAAAAAGTTGAAATTACAGTAAATTAAACTTCTTAACGAAACCCATTAAAGAAAGGACAGCTTCCCTAATCTGTAAAAAGACAAAAATCAAATTACATTCAATTAAACTTCAGAAAAACCCCAATTGTGAAACCCTATACATGAATCTCGAAAGGTAAATTCATAATCCAAATACCTTCAAGATCAATTAGGGATGGGAAATTTCCAGACTTGAATGGTGGTTATATCTTTGTTTGATCTTTCAAAGTTTTAAAATAAGTAATCATGGCCAAAATACTTTTAAATCTTTGCCAAAATGATAGAAAGCATAAATAAACATGTTACAAATATATTTCTTATTTTTTTAGGATTTTTTAATATATTTTAAATTTCTTTTTTGAGATCCCCGAGTTGGACCTCCAACTCGGGACAACTCGGGCTCGGCAACTCGGCCGAGTCGAAATGGACACTGGTTTGAGGAAGAAGATAAACTTGAAAAAGAAAAAAAATACAAAGAGAGAAAAAAATAAAAAAAGGAAGCATCCTTGCCTAGCCACATGCCCTCTCTCTATCTCTATCCCTTGCCCTGATATCTCTCCCATCCACAAAAGAAAGTAGAAGAGAGTAAAGTTGCACAGGTACTGTCTCTCTCTTCATTCTCTATGTTTTCTCTCTCTTCCCTCTCTCCCTCTGCCCCACCCCACATCTTTCTCTTTCTCTCTCTTCCATTTCTTTGTTCTCTATGTCTTCCATCTCTCTCCTGGCCCCACAGCCATCAGGCCAGGGAGAGAGAGGAGGGGTTTCGGGCTGGGTAAGGCCACTTAAGTTATGGGTCCCTTTTGTATGTTTTTCTGAAGTGTTTATCACAGGTTCTAACAACGATAATCAAGTCTAAGCAATTTATTTCAAAGTTTTTCAGATTTAAGATAACCTTTGGTGTGATTTTCTGTCTAAACTCCTGTATTTTTCCAGTAAGGCTCACCAGTTTCTTCCTGTGGATTTTTTTCAGCAAGGCTCTAGGGATAGGGTAGAGGTGGATAGAGAGAAGAGGCATTCGGTTCCCTCTCTTATTTCACCCATACGAGCTGGTGAAAGTGGCTTTTTAGCCTCTCTCAATCTACACCATTCTTCAACCCTATTGTAGTCAGGATTGGGAATGGGATCGTGATAGGCTAGACTCTCCCTATAGTTGGGATCGAGCTTTGTACACCTTGAATTTTAGGGATCTCGGTCCCAACATAGTGGGAGCTGGATGTTTTTGGGATAACACGATAAATTATAAAGGTCTGAGACCCACCTGGTAAAAGCATCTCTTTTCTCTTTGAAAAGTATATAAATATGATTTTACAACATAATTCCTTTCTTTTTTAATGGATATGCATCTAAGACTCGTTTCCATATAAAAAAAAATCAATCTGACATGAGTGTGATTTATATCGACCAACCCCTAAGGGATTGGGATTGTGTTCCCCCCATATGGGAGTGAGATCCACCCAAGATCTAGCTTCGGGAGCATGTGATCGGCAGAATTGCCACCAAGTTGGGAGATCCCAGTAACTACAGTTGAACCTTATAATCTCAGTCATCGAACCCATACTGTGGCATAGGCTGCTCGGATTCATTTTTCGAAACACACATAATTACCTTATCTTACTCAACAATTCTCGACATTTGATGCCCTTACTCCTCAGATATTAATCTTTTGCTTCGGGGTATTTGAGGTGATTAATTGAGGATAAAGTAGAAATTCTTGGCAGAAACAAAAGCATTTGTTAATTATTGTGGGGAATGAAATCACCCGTATGGGATGTGACATCATTCACATCAGGTGTGATGTCACTCACATGAAGCATTAATTTCTTTATAATAACTAATAAATGATGTTGTTTTCTTCAAAATATATCTATTATACACCTCACTAGTGACAAAAAGTGTTGTTATTCAAAAAGTTTTTGTACTTAAAAGCAAGAGTAATGAATGTCCAATAAGTAGCTTAAGGGGATACTCCATGAGAGGGGAGTAGTGTAACAAATCCCTTCATATATGCATGTATGTATGTGTGTGTGTGCACGCGCATGTATTTATGTTCATATGTGTGCATGCATGTATGTATGTGTGCATGCATGTATGCATGTGTATGTGTGCCTGTATGTATGCATGCATGTATGTGCGTATGTATGCGTGTGTACATGTATGTGCGTATGTATGCATGCGTGCATGTATGTGCGTATTTATGCATGTGTGCATGTATGTGCGTATGTATGCGTGCATGCAGTGTATGTGCGTATGTATGTATGCCTGTGTGTATGTTTGTTTGTATGTATGCGTGCACATATATGCACGTATACCCTCACTTGGTTCTTTAAATACAATTCTTATTCGGTGAAAGACAAAAATATCCTTATTGAATGTTGTGTATTATGTCATGGGTTGTTTCTTCTGATGTTGAACTTTTGTGATCTTTAAAGAAGAATGTGTTCTTCTGCTTACCACCATGCAATTTCTACATCTATATAGAAGTTAAGATCATTTCATTGCAGTTGATTTTTTTATTGTTATTCTGGTTTTTATTTATTGATTATCATTCAACACGAGTCTTCTGATTAGGCAATTCTGGTTTCTCTGATGTGTTTATGAGAATTTACTTCATTACTAGCTATCTTATCGTGCTTAGATTGTGGGAACAAATTTTGGTTTTTTTTTGTCTTAGGAAGGGCCTTTCCTAGTGATTGTTTTGTTCTTAAAACTACTTTCTATGAAGAAGTGGCTGTTTAATGTTCTAGATTAGGGCATATTTGGTCACTGGTTTCACATGAGAAATTTTAGTACTACAGATATGATATGTTGGCCGAAATAGCTAAATGTTTCTTGTTTACAGATCCCAAATCTGGCACTTATAGAGACAAAGAAAGCATTTGAGCTTCTCTACAAGCTCATGAAAGATGACTACTTGCAGATGGAGGTAAGTTAATTTGATCATCCATGATTACTTGCTGTTATGCCTTTTATATATGATGGTTCTCTCTCTCTCTCTCTCTCTCTATCAGGATTATACTGTGGCATAAGCCTGTTGGAGCTAGAGGGTTTGTTTGAACTGCAGTTTAGCGCATGTGTAGATCCCATCTAGGTGATCATATAAAAAGAATAGTCTGGATTTGCACGGAAAAGGGGAGAAAATGAGTACCGGTTTAAGTGAACTCCTGCCATCCCTTAGGTGGAGTTGGATCTAGGTCTTCAAGAACTAAAAATTGAATTTCCTTTTTTGGAGATAATGTTTTTTTTTGTACTGACCATCATTTTGATTAGGCAAAGATCATCAAATCTGCACTGTTTTTGGAGCTCTAAATCCATGAATCAATGACGAATATAAATTTACAGTAAATTGAGATGTGTTCTGGATTTCGTAATTTCCTCGAAAACTAGGACGGGCACATGAGTCGGTCAACTCTCCAAATACATCCATCAAGTTTATCCATGGAATGATGAGGTGGAACCTCAAAAACCTTTTTAAGGTACCATGACATTGTCTACCAAAGTGGTAATGAATGTTCAGTAGGCATCATTGAAACATTTATTTTGTCATCAATATGTTGTGTATATGTTGCTTGGGGAATCCTGTGAAAACGTAATTGGTCTATCCTTAATATGAATGGATTCAGAAAAGGGACTTGTGACCATATATTGGTATTAGTTAATAAGCATTTTCTCATCATGAACTTTGTAATGGCAGCACACATAGGTGGCTGTATTTCACAAGATGTCCATCATAGTTGACTAGGTGTTTTGTCAATAATCTCCACTACTACTTCCTATACTCCATTCCTTTTATCTACTGGGGGTTCTTTTAGTATGTCTCGATAAACGGTAGTAGTCGTGTCCATTGATATTGGTGTTTTGATTCTCGCCGTTTGTTTTTTTTTGCTATTTGATGTGATTTATAGCATTTCAGTTGTGCATTCCTTTTGGTACTGCATGCTTCTTGTACATATAATGTATTCCCTTTCTTGTTTGCAAGATTCCCAGTTATCCGGTGTATCTCATTGTCTGAAAACAATTTACAAAGAGAGAATTACTGAAAAGCTTTTCTTGGTCTCCTCATTGCAAAAACCTTGCTCATGATCCCTTGCAACATCTATCTTCATCTCAGTGGAAAACGAACTTGGGTAGTGCTTGAACTGGATTGGAAAGCCATTGTTTTGAGTATCAAGGAAAGCTCATAGGTATAGAAACAATGAATTAATGGGGCTTGCTTTATTTATGTTTTACTTTTCGAGTACACAGAAATCTTCACAATGATCTCACTGTCCAAGTTGGCAGGACATGAGGCTGTTGGTGTTTTGGGCCAAGAAATAGATGAAGCTAAAGGAAGAAAGAAATTTTTAGATGCTAGGCAATTACACCCTGCGCAAGGTATTGGAATCAGCTACTAGTCAGCTGGTTTGAATATCAGTCAAGCAAGTCCGATCGAAGTCTTTGTTAAATGGGTCTGATGTTTAATCACTTCATGAGCTTTTTCTGTCTGACTGTATGGACTGTCCTCCAAAGCATTTGGGAAGAGTTGCACAAGTGGGGTCACTGGGAACTATGATTCAATAATTAAAAGTGCTGAAGCATAAATGAATAACATGAAGATCAAAAGTATTGAAATATAAATAAATATGAGTATAAGATTGAATTAGAAGACCTAGAATTGAGCAACATAATGCTTAGAGAACACCAAGTAAGAAGAAGATGCTTAACATGGATTTAGAAAAGCTCATATATAAGCAATTAACAAAAAAAGGAAGGAAAAAACTCTCATGCGTGTTTATGAGAATCTCCTTACCCCAAACCTGGCCAAAAAAGGAAAAAAAAAAGGGGTTATCCTGGCTTTAGTCTAGGGTGGCGTCCAATTGCCATTGTTTTTGGAGGTTTGGATTAAGCCTTTTGATCGCACCTGCCAAACCTTGTTGTGAGCTATATGTAATTAGCTATGTAGGTTACCTTTTTTATTTATGATAATTATAAAACTTCTTTATTTATGATAATAACTTATTGTGTTTTGGCCTTCATCCATGGCATCATACGAATGGCCCAATTGGTCCATTTCTTGTTATTCATGATGCATGGAACCTAGATCAAAGACTTATTGATATCCCACGTTTAGGATTTTCCAAATAAATGATCACTGTTTGCTCTTAATGACATTTGTTTTGGTCAGTTCTTCTTACATGAATTTATCACAGTAAGATATAGTGTTGATGATATGTGGTATTATGCTGGCACTATGAATTTATCATGAAAAAATTTGGTCCTGTTTGGATGAGAATTAATTTTATAAGGTGTGAGAATTAATTTTAAAAGGTGTGGACTATCTTATCTAAAATTAATATACTTTGCATAATATCATGTTTTTAGTTGTTTGCTAAGTACCTTGTATTATTTAATTTTTTTCGGCAATTTCCAGCTATTTTTGGCTAAAAAATATTCTGCATGAAGTAAAAACAACTTTTCAAAAAGATAAACTTAAAACTGCTTATGTGTATAAGAACAGAAAGCTGGCAGAGAGGAGAACTGCATATCAAAATTTGAAGTTATTTGGCCACTGGAATCATGATTTATGGCTTTCTATTTTGGATGAAGAAAACTTGGCGGTAGCCATAGATTGCTCCTCCATTGCTGGACCATGCATACAGTTTGCGCTTTTGTAAAAGTGTGGTGGTCCGGCAATTGTAGCATCAGAAACGGCACTTCCCGTCGTCGTTGTATCTTTCCATCATGAAGTTTTCTGGCCTTGCAGGGCCAAATCTTGGTCGTCCACCGTTGGATCAGTTTGATTTCTAGAGCGTAACTTTGGGGCACCTCAGATTAATGATCTGACGGTAGGATTATAGTTTTGAGTGACCAGAGGTGATCGTGCTCTCTTTTGGACTGTCTGATTGCCTTGGCTCTGATTTTCCTCATTTTTGGCTATCAACTGCCAAAATTTCTGGGTGAATCATCTTTTCCTCATTTGACAAGTGATTTGAATAAAAAACTCCCAAAATTGCTGGAGTTATGATCAAATTAGTAGGTCTTTTCTAAATTTTCAGCAGTCTCCACTTTTAGGCAAACTTTTCTCTGGAATTTGATCCCCAAATCGGGTCGGAAACTTTAGACATTTTATATTGATGAGAAGGGGGATCGAGTGAGGAATGTCCTTGCAAAATCAGAGCTTAAAATGCCCTATGGATTGCGAGATATTGAGCTGGGAGTGAGTTGTGGTCATGGAGACTGCAACACACACAAGTTCATTTTTGATCACCCACAGGTCTCGATAATGATCCGTGCTGGGTAAACCTTCTATGTGTATATGAATGGCAAACTGGCAAAGAGGAGAACTGCATATCCAAATTTGAAGTCTTTTGGCCGCAGGATTATTCTTATGATTGATACTAAACAACAGATAATTTATTATTGAGGATTAATTTTGTTGAAATAGTAAACTAGTAGTTCTGCTTGTTATCATGCAGTAATGCATCCTTGATAATGGCAGGATTTTTACTCTAGCAGGATTTTGAAAAACATGTCTGTCGTCCCCCAAAAACAACTGAAAAGTTGGCAAACAAAGACAACTTTCTTAATTAAAAAGATCCATAATAAATATGTTCCATCTCAGAAGAATAAGATTTTAAGTTACATGAATGAAGGATAAATACTTCTTTGATTTAAGGTCCCTAAAATGCGTTAAGTTGAATCTTTTCTATTTTGCTCCCGATGGGCATTGTTAACTCAACCTTATTACTTCCAGGAGTTTTAAAGTAATTGCTTTTCATTGGTTTATGCATGAATTTCATATTTTGTATTAAAAATTTATTTTCATAATAAAGTAATATATCAATTGAAAATATTAAGATTCTTATAATTTTTTTATAACTTGCTAATGACATCCTGATAATGATAATTGTGAATAAGCTGTTGTTACTGGTTTAGCTCTTTTTTTCTTTGATGCTCTAAAGAAAATCTCTTATGCAAACAATATGTTTTTTTTTTTGGGTAAGTATGCAAACAATATGTTTATCATGGTCAGTTAACAGCTTCAAAAAAAAAACAATATGTTTACCATGGCTCATGAGCTTTTGTTTGAGTGGTGCCATTAGTCTTACTATTATGCAAACGACAAGTTTAACTATGGTTAGTGAACTTTTGTTTGAGTAGTGCTGTTAGTCCTATAGGCTGCCTAAGGTTAAAAGTTATCAAACTTTTTTTGGGTGACCCATTCCCTGCTACATGTGGCTCCGAGTGTTTCCATCTGCATTTATATCAGCATGTCATAATATTTTTTGGCTAACTGCCGCATAATATAATTTGGTTTCTATGGGAATGTAATCCTGTTAACTATTTTCTAGAATAAGATCGATGCTACATAGTTAGTGCATAGGATAGGGGTCGCAATAAGATGGTTCTATTTTTCATGTTGCCATCTTCAACTTACACCAACGCACGTATCATGTATGCCAAATAAAGGGGGAATCATCCTTAGGAGTTGGAATATAGCTGTCTTCATGAATAACTCCATTTAAGTGGCCAAACCAAGACCTTGGAGCTAGTTTCAGCCAATATAGACCTTTTCTCAACCAGCACACATACTATGGATTGGTAGAACTATATCCTGGGGGCATGTCATAGACATAATCTCCTAAAGATGACCATTTAGAAAGGCATTCTTGACATTCATCTGGAATGTACCTCAATGCTTTGTTGAAACGACAACAGCCAGGGTTCTAACAGTAGCCATTTTGGTTACCAGTGCAAAGGTCTTCATAGTCCGGGCTATACTCTTGTTTGTACCCTTGTGCAACTAGGAGTGCCTTATGCGATCAAGAGAGCATTCGGTTTGAGCTTTATGGAGTAAACCATTTTCATCCAACTTTTGATGTTCAATTGGGCAGTAGTACCAGATCCCTAGTACAATTTAGTTCTAAGCGTCAATTTCCTCCTGCA